CCCCAACTCACTCATCCGACCAAAAACGGATTTTATCCCCCCTCCCTAACTTTCACTCAACACATTGAAGAAATTTTCCACTACCCAAGCTACTTTTCCTCCACAAACTCAAACCATGAGATCTACCTGTTGCATCCCAAGAATCACTGTCCTCCAATTTCCCCCAATGGGCCTCCATAACTCTCTTCCATAATCTATCATTCCCCTTCAGATATCTCCAGATCCATTTACCATGTGGAGCCATATTTATCTCAACTATAGACCGAAGCTCCAAACCCCCGAGCCCCACAAGCTTATTCACATCCTTTCATTTCACCGGGTGGTATCTCCTTCTTCCCTCATCATTCCCCCAAAGTAAGTGACATTAAATTCCTTACAACTTCTTAGCAATCTTCATAGGAATTGTGAGCGCCAAAAAATAATATATAGGAAGATTAGAAAGTGTGCTTTTTTTAGTGCAAGTCTACCTCCTTTAGACAAAAAATTCATCTTCCAATTAGCCAGTCTCTTCTCAAACAGTTCTATCACCGAATCCTATGTCCCAAATTCCTTGTATAGAACCAACGTAGCCCCAAATATTTTGTAGGGAGCTTTGCCATTTTACGCCCCAACACTCCTGCAAGAGTGTTGTCATCCGCCCGGTCACCAATTCTCACCATCTCAGATTTATTCAGGTTGATGTCTAAACCTAAAGCAGCCTGAAAACAATGAAGTACACATCTTAGACTCGGGATCACCTTGCTCCAATTGACAGAAAATAAAAGTACCATCTACAAAGAACAGATGAGAGACTTCTACTTGTTGATTTCTTCTCTCACCCGAACCCCCTTGAAGCAAATCCAGGTCCTTTGCCTTTTTCTATCAATTTGTTCAAGGCTTCCATTACATTATAAAAAGTAATGGCAAGAGAGAGTTGCCTTGTCTTAAACCTCTTGATGCCTTGAAAATAGAAGAAGGACCTCCATTGATCATCACTGCAAAAGTAGTTGATATACACGAATGCATCCATCTTCTCCACTTCTACCCAAATCCTAATCTCCTTAACATGTAATCCACAAAGTCCCATCTTACATAATCATATGATTTTTCTATATCTAATTTATACAGGATCCCCTCATTCTTGTTGCCCACAAGGCCATCCACCAATTCATTCGCCACCATCACCACATCCATAATCTGCCTTCCTTCCACAAATGCATGCTGATTTTCCCTAATCACTAAACCCAACACATTAGACAACCTTTTCGTTAAAGCTTTAGATATTAGCTTGCAGATGCACCTCAACAA